TACTGTAAATGGGAGATCAAACGTAACCACGAAATGATGTACATCGAGTCCGACGTGACCCGAGGACTGCCTGTATTTTGCAATAAAAAGGAATGAAGTACTGATACACATTTCAACATGGATGAATCTGAAAACAAGCCAGGTGAAAGCAGCCGGCCACTAAAGACCACGTGTTGGTGTTGCATGATTCTCTGCATCCTTTTGTCCAGAACAAATTGGTGCACACAGACGATGGGTCTGTGGTTTCCTAGGGCTGGTGGGAGGATGGGCGAGTTGAGCAAATGAGTGTAGGATTTCTTATGGAAGGGATAAAATGCTCTAAAATTTGATTGTGGCAATGGTTGCACAACCCTGTGAATGCCCTAAAATAAGAAATTGTACATGTTACATGGATAAAATACATGGTATATTAATTATATCTCAATATAATTTAAAAATGCCTAATTTTTGTGTGACTGAGCTTGGAGTCAAGTTCAATGTTTGCAATTGCACAAGGCTGTGCAGAGGAAGTAGGGCCAGTATTATTATTGCCTGCATTCACCTCATCTTTAAAAAGTGGGATTTAACTTCTGTATTCCATGAATTACTATATAGTTTTCATTTAAGGAGGCAGAAATTTGAGAAAGTCTTGTAAAACAACCAGACAACCACAAGAGGGCACTTGCTTCATAGCTACAGAATGAGGAGGATCTAAATTACCTGGGAAATACAATATTTACCAGTTTAACCTCATTCACAGCTCCCAGTGTGTGTATGGGTGGGGAGGGGTACGGAGGGTATATTATTATGAGTATGTTTCATCTAATACATTCAAGCCAATAGTGTAACCAAAGTCAACGATGGGTTGAAAAAAATCATGACATACACTGGCAGAAAGTAAATGTCTACACTTCAATAATAGAGGAACAATAATAGATAGCATTGGATTGGGCTTATTTCTATTCCTTCTAGTCATACAACAGATTATACAAAGTTATCTATTTAGCATAAAACTTATTCAAATAATACAAATCATTACAAGATATGAAACATGTCATAAATACTTGATCTCTGGTTCTCTGCTCTCTATTTCCAACCCCAGGAACAATGCGTTGTATAACTGGCACTTGATAAATATTTATTAAATGGATGAGATAAATTTAAAAAAATGAATGATATCCACATTTCTTATATTTCAGGGGGGAAAATGTATCTACTATGCCTTGGGGACCACATCAAAATATTTCCCTTCATCTATACAACAAATGAATAAAACATCACAGTTATTCCACTGAATAAATATCTCTCAAAGAAGTTCATAGAGACATCTGTGGTGTCAAATAAAATGCCTTGGCCAGAAATCCCTTAATATTGACCGACATACCTCTCTCAGTGAGTGATGCTTCATCTTCCTACTTAGCGTCCTTCAATCAATGCACCTCTTAGGAAACCACAGTATATAAAAATTCATTAGGGAGACCGGAGTCCTCTCCATTCACCTCCAATTCCCAATGGTCTGACATCAAAATGATGTCTGGAGGGAATCATAATACTGATCCATGTACAATTGCAAAAATGGTACCTGACTCCCAGCACAGTCACACACAAATGAGGCATAATTTTTACAGATATTTTGCATTTGGGATGAATAAATAGGTGTAGGATGAGCTGCTGCAGACACAGAAGGATGAGCTGTTGCAGACGCAGCATTTTCACAGCAACTCACTGTATAAGAAACCAGAGCACAAATGATAAACAACTAGAAATGTCTTCTCTGCCACTTCTTTAGTGAACAGTCTGCTGTCAAAACAAAGGCACCATGCTAGGCTGTTTCAAAGCATCCCAGAAACTGAAATACAGTGCCAAAAACATAGTGTACCTGAGCAGCAAGGGAACTAACACTCACACATCATTCATGCACATGTCTAAAAACTGTTCCATGGAACTAGGTGCAGGGAGATATGACAGCAAAAGGGCCCTTTTCCTGCCCTCTAGGAACTCTCAGCCTCGTAGACCAGATGGACAAACAGGTGGGCAATAACAAGAGAATGGAATGTCAGGGCGAGCATGCAGCGCTGTAGCAACACAGACGCTGAACTCCTAATGTAACCTTAGGTGGCTAATAATAACTACTAGTGGATGTGAGAATTCAGCTGAAAGCTGGGGAGAGGAGCTAGCCACTGCAGTAAGTAGGGAGATCACCCTAAGCGAAAGGTGAAACTGAGTATGGAGGGAAGACTAACAGAAGTTAAGGAGGTGAACTAATCATAAAAATATAGAATAAACATTACGATCCTTAGGGAACCACCTTTGGAGTTTGGAGGCTGCATCTCTCCACCCCCATATTCTAGACCCTTCTAAATTTACTTGAGGTCAAACCAGAAACCTTAAAAAATAATGAATACATGTTGTCACTAGGCCCAAGTAATAACGGTGAGAAATTCTCCAAAAGCCCATTTGGGGAGGATTCACAAGTTACATGTATATTAAAAGCACTTTAAAGTTTTACAAGAGTTTTCAGATGCACTTTGTCCTCCTGGCAATTATATCATACAACCACCCCGCTCCTCCCCACCCCTTAGTGTCTCATGCCAATCTTAAAATAATGTTACTGAGGACGAAAGAGCCAAGGTCATGAACTCAGTAGCAGGACCCGGACTCCAGCTCTGGTTTGTTTTATTCCAGACCAGTAGTTCTGACTTTCCCAAGAGCCAAAGCAAGCGTATGCTCACCCATTTTCGCCAACATTAATAATCAAGATGCAATATTCAAAATTAATAAAAACTAAAGTGCCTCTGGACCATAAAAAGCAAAAATAAAATGTACTGCCTTCTTAATTACAGCAGTTCACATAACTGAGGAGGAAAGAAGAAAAAGGAGAAGAAGCCACGGAGGTCTCCTTTAAAAACATCTGCCTACAACAGCTCTACCTAAATTAGTCTTTTATTAACCCAGACTCTTCAAGCTTTTGACCCAACTCCTCTGAAGTCTAGTAACGGCCCTTCTTTTGACTGGAAGCCAAATGGGGTTGTCATTTCATTGATGAAGCAGAAGACATGACTGTCAGACAAAAACAGTCTATTTCGCCCCAAACACAGATGTTTGAAAGTTGATAGAATAACATTTTACTGGTCCCGTTAAATTGGCTACAGAATAAAAAACGCTAAACTGAAGCAAATGAAGTGGGGAAATGGTAGCCTGGACTCAAGCACCATGGCATGTCCCCGTTACCACCTCAGCTCCCTGAGATTAGAGTCTTTCCACCCCGAAGTGTTAAGAGATGGGTGCGACAGGAGGATGTTCAAATCAGCATGCCTTAAGCATGCAATCCTTCTGCAACAATCCTTCACAGTGCCTGCCGCCCCCATTTCTGTCAACTCCTCACCTCATGCCCTGGTAACTGCAGACTCACCGCCATGTGAGGAACCCACGATCTCCCCAGAGGACTCACCCAGGCTGGGCCCTCAGACCCTCTCCGCCACAATTCAGAAGCAAGAGGCGAACACTAGGTATCTGGTTATAGCCTGTTGCTGAAACCCCACAAAGCCGGGGCTGCGATGGCCATCTCCCCCATTTGGGGAGGATTCACAAGTTACATGTATGTTAAAAGCACTTTAACATACATGTAAAATTCCCCCCGCCTCCCTGTACATGTGAAAACAGAGGAGCACATGCTGTGAGGGGAAGGGCGATGGAGTAGGTGCAAACAGTGGTGAACAGGAACTAAAACAAGGGAAGGCAAAGGGGGACCCTGGTACTGAATGTCCCAAACTGAGTCGGGGCTCACAAGGCCTGCTCTCTCCCTTGTGCCTGGCTCTGAAAGTCGCCTGTTCCTTCGGAAATTCCTGGTGCTCCAGCTGATTTGAACAGGTTTCTTTTCATGTTGAACCCTTTGGCCTGATATTTCCATTTTGAGGTAGAATTCCACCTTGAGGTATAATTTTCTCAAGAAAATAGTTGGGTAAAAACACTAACACATAGAATATGCATACAAGTACACTCACTGGGCAGAAGAGTAAATGACAAGCTGCACAGGATGGGCTAAGTAAATTCTGATCCAAGTGTTCTGATACTGCTCAACAGACATTTATTTAGCATCTCCTAACCTAAGGGCACTGCCACAGGGTCTCTGCCTCAAAGACACCAGGTCCTAGTGATGTGTGATAGACAGCAAGACAAAGTGTATGGCTTAAAAAATTCATATCAGACAATAGTTAAGGGGCATTAAGCTGGACAAGCTTACAAATTAGACTTTCTAAAAATTATTCAATTATCAGTAGCTATATAATTACTTTAACATGCAAGGGCAGAGGGAGGAGACAACAAAGAGAAAGGAGGAAATGGGAAAGGGAACAGGAAGTGATGGAGGATGTACCATCCTTCCCTCCAAATTAACAATAAGATAAACATTTTTACTGGTAGCTTATGGGTAGTGTTTATTCTCTTCTCATGTTTCTCCACTTGCCAAGTTGTCCACAAGGAAGATATGTTACTTTGATGTTAGGAAAACCACTTACTTTTATTTATACACTGGAGTCCTGGTGTATGAAATCTGTGCAGGGGGGGGGGGGGGGAGGCAATGGTGGTGTCCCTCAGCCAGCCTGCACCCTCTCCAATCTGGGATCCCTGGAGAGATGTCTGACTGCCCGTTTAGGCCGATCCTACTGGGATTGGGCCTAAACGGGCAGTTGGACATCCCTCTCACAATCCAGGACTGCTGGTTCCCAACAGCTCGCCTGCCTGCCTTCCTGATTGCCCCTAACCACCTCTGCTTGCCAGCCTGTCACCACCTAACCACTCCCCTGCCAGCCTGATTGATGTCTAACTACTCCCTTGCCAGCCCGTTTGTCCCCACTTCCCTCCTCTGCCAGCCTGGTCACCCCTAACTGCCCTCCCCTGCAGGTTTGGGTGAGGAGCTGAGACCTGCCCCAGCTCTCTATCTGGGAGGCCCTCCTCTCACTGTGCCTTCACTACACCCTGGGAATCCGGCCACAAAGAGATTATGTACGGTACCTGGAAATATTTCTCTACCGATACCATGTGGACAAAACCCACTCCATATTCTGCTCTTGTGACACATGGTACCAACCTTCTCCTCGGACTGATGGTGCACTCCCTGAACCCGCACTCCGCTCAAACCATTCCTTTCCTTTTTCTTTGGAGCAAATGGCCACAGTATCTGGGATGGTCTGCATTCCACAACAAAAATCATGACTTGACCCCGAGTCCTTCCCTTCCTGGACCACACCCAAAGGCTAGAAGATACCAACACAAGTAAAAGATGTGATGGCAGCCACTGGCCAAAGACCTGGAATGGCAAAGGCAACAGCCAGGCAGATTTCTCTGGAAGCTCTTCCTTAAGTCCCTGAACCTAACTGTCCCCTATACCTGGGCTCCTGGGCATTAAAGAGAAAAAATCAACATGATATAGAAAAGTGTTAGTTACATGCAAACAAGTGGTTAGAATAAGATGGAACTTGGGAGACATTGTAGAAAATAGGTCTAGGCAAAGTACCGAAAATTAGGTATATTGGTATAAAGGTATATTCGGAAATTACCGAAAAATCAGTACAGTGGTCTGGTAGGATTAACTCTTCCTCTCAGTCACCTTACAGTTATTTGCAAACTGCCCACAACACTGGTTTCTACTTTAGATGTTTATGAAAAATGAGATGAAGAACGACTCTGCGTAAGGCTCTTCCGGGCTAACCCCATAGATCTAAAGCTTCCAATGAAAATTTCATTTCTGAAATGGCAAGAAATCATGGCAGAAATTCAAGGGGAAAACAGACTTCAAAAAGAGCAGGTGTTTAGCTTCCAGCTATACAAAACACTGATGCAGTCAATACAAACAGCTTGAGTGCTTCCAGACCTAATTCGTACATTCCCAGGAATGGTCTAAAATTAATTTTAAAAAGCAGGAAGTGTTGATAAAAGAAGCTAGATCTCGAGTTCAGATGCAAAGTCATAACATTCTAGAAAAATGCCAGGTTGCTGAGATCTTAGATTCCATCCAGATGACTAATGAATTTGGAGAAAAATCTTTGCAGTTGGATCACTTAGCTGCAGCAGCCTCGTAGGCAAACTTGGCTGGAGAAAGCTCAACATTTTAAAGGTCTGAGGAAGATCTCTATAAATCTGGGTATTGTTGGGGGGGGGGGGGGGGGAGGTAGCGCACAAATTTCCCCTGCCCTTCTTAATGGCTGACCTAACTATAAAATGGGCACAAGACAGATTCACAGGGAAAATGTATTTATCCATAAGAGTGTCTCATAGATATGGGATCTAAGAAGTGACCAAGGCAGGCTGTTTGCCTACATTTTTAGACAAAGCAGCAATGACTTGTGAAGATATGACAAAACTTGGGGTTTTGCTTAGGGAAGCAAATTAATGAAGAACGAAAGGCGTCTATTTATACAGGTTTCTCAGCCTTGAACTCCTAACTGCACACAGGGTTGCCCTCCGTCTTCCTGGGAGGAGAGGATGCTTTCACATGGGGATTTAATTCCTGCTTCTGGGGGGGAGGGGCAGGGAGAGGGTTACAGTGTTCTTTCTTACACCAGCTGTTTATCAAGGAACTTTAATTCAAAATAATTAAATACCAAAGTGGCACATTTTGGGGTAACCTGCCCTAAGCCCCGTCAGTATTCTCTCCCTGCACCCTCCTCACTTCCCAAAGACCTCCCTGCACCCACCACTTGCCCTACCTCCAGCTCAGTAGCACCTAACTTTTCCAAATATGCAGATGCATTTAAAGGTTAGTGGATCCTAACATGACAGTAATCCTACTTTTATTATTAGTTGGTTAAAAAAATACATATAAACAACAACAACAACAACAAAAAACACCCAGAAATTCACAGGGTTCTGTGGGGGCTTGATGTGGCGGGGACCAGACCTGGCAGGGATCTCCCTTTTCTGAGTCCAGCAGGGAAAGAGAGGTTGAATGAACTGGTTCTAAGTGGAGGCGGCCAGGGATTGAGGAAGGAAGGAAGGAAAGGAAGGAAGGGAAGGAAGGGAAGGAAGGGAAGAAAGGGAAAGAAGGGGAGGAAGGGGAGGAAGGGGAGGAAGGGGAGGAAGGGGAGGAAGGGGAGGAAGGGGAGGAAGGGAGGAGGAGGGAGGGAGGGAGGGAGGGAGGGAGGGAGGGAGGGAGGGAGGGAGGAGGAAGGAAGGAAGGAAGGAAGGAAGGAAGGAAGGAAGGAAGGAAGGAAGGAAGGAAGGAGAGAGAGATTTAAAAGCTGGGAGCTGAGTGGGCTGCCTTCCCCTCCCAGCACATTTATTTTATACCCCCAATACCAGAAAGTAACACCAAAACTTAGGATCAAAAGAGCTTATTTGCATTCTTAAGTAGGCCCTCGAATTCCTGTTGCTTGTCTGGATTCTCTATCTAGACCAGCCCCTGCCTGGGCTGATACAAAGGCCAAGCTGATTACATTTTCCGCCATCTTGGGGAAATGTGTATCCTAGACATGGCTCTGCCAATTGTCTTGGTCTCAGCTGGCAACAATTAAAAGAAATGCCCATGTGCCTTCCCAGGCGGCCCTCTACAGGGTTCTTATTTTATTAACCCTCAAAGCAGCTGCATTAATTTAAATCTTTTCATTCAATTCTAATTTATTTGAGCTCTCCCTATGTGCTACCATTGTTTGCAGAACTTGAGATTCAAACTCTCCCCCTTTCTCCCCTCGCTCAGTACTTCTGAGAAGGGAAACCTTCCTCCTAGTTGGTTGAGGGAAAGAGGGAGGAGAGGGGAGGAGGATGCAGGCAATTTCCCATTTGTCTTGGGGTTTTAATTTTTGGACACAGGAACGCATTAATGAAATACTCATGTAACTGAAAGGAAAAGGAGGGACTAAAGCATTTGTGTGAGAGATGTTTGGAAAAAGAAAAAAGACCTTTGCAGTGACTTTCAGGCATCCTAAGAATATGGGGTACCACTCACCCACACCCTGCACCCTGCGATGTTCCTGTCAACGCAAATTAGTAAACTAGGCTCAGGCAAGAACCCCCTTCCTTCGGCTCTTCCTGGAACTTCCATCAGGGCACCAAGCCTGGCACTCAACTCAGCAGCTACTGAATGGCCGAAAGAATGGGTAACAGAAGACTAGTACTGAGTGTCGGACCATTTTTTCTTCCTTGGTGACCTAACACATCTTCACCTCTCCCCACAGAGGATGGCCTCCGCGGCACCTGAGCCTCTGCTGGCATCACACTCACCCAGGGTGCCGCACACACATGCCACGCCCACACCTGGGTGTGTTCTGCTCGGACACACCACACATTTCAGCACCCCTGGCAGGCCCCCTGGATAGTGCCTCCTTCATCCTTTTAATAGCATCTTCATCCATTTTCTGTTTGTTTCTTTGTTTTCTGCTACTTGCAAAGGGAAAGAGGTTTCGAATAAGACAATGTTTACATAAGCTGATTTTCTTTATGAGAGACAGCAGCCTCCCCGCTCTGGCATCACGATATAAACTATGAACAGCGTGAGGGCTCTGTCAGGACATGGAAATGGAATGCTGGGCTACGGTCACGTCAGTGACATTGAGCCTAAAGGGCATCATGAGCATGAAAATGTACCGAAGGTTTCTCATTGTGATACATCTATTCTCAATAGTCAATGCTTAAGTAACTTTTATTTGCTTGTGTGTTGACTACACATAGAAGATACACTAAGAAAATACTCAAATGAGACACAGTACACAACCTCAAAATTCTCATCTTAAAACTTCCACATATAAAACCTTATTTAATCCATCACTCAGAATGTCAGCAGGCCAAGTAATCTGTAAAGAAATTTTGCAAATAACAAAATACCTTGTCTCTTCTTTTACACAGGAATGATAATGAGAGCTTCAAACACAATGCCTAACTGAGGTCCATAAAGACTACTTACACCATAAAGAGAATAATGCTAAATTAACAAGAATCTGGAGCAACGTCTGAGGTCTCTCCAAAATCCACTCTCCCTCTCTCCCTGGGACAACTCCAACAACTTCAAGCCTCATTTATAACATTCAGGAAGTTCCAAAAACAAACATCTGTCTTATCAATGTGGAAGCCTCGAGAAGTATCAGCCCATTAGCTCCTCAGCACAGTCTGGCACAGGCTCCACTTGGCACAGAACACAGATAAGGAAGGCAGAAAGTTCTGAAGAATTCATCATTTTGCAGAACAGCAGTTTTCAGACGGCTTGGCAAAAGCAGCACGGTAATGCCAAAACATCAAAACGAAGGAAAGACTTCCAGGCGGCATCGGTGCCCGATGAGAACAGCCTCCACGGTACTGGCACCGGGGACCAGATCCTGCCCGGATGGGAGCTGTCCTGTGCGCGGGAGGATGTGCGACAGCATCCCTGGTCTCTGCCCACTGGATGCCAGCAGCATACACTACGTGTGACAACAAAAAGCATCACCGACATTGCAGATCCTCTGGGAAGGTAACTGAGCCCTGAGTTGAGATCCTCTGATTTATGATGATGACGTTGACGATGACAATGATGACAGGAACAACAGCAGTAAAAGTAATAAACATAACAATTTCCACCTATTCAGTACTGGACATCAGGGGTTATGGTGAGAACTCGATATAAACTTTATTCTGTAAAACAACCCTATTTGGTAAGTACGATAACTTCCCATATTTTACAGCCGAAGGAACTAAGGTTCAAGAGGTGACATGCCCTAGGCCTATCCAAGATCGCCTGGTAAGTGAGAGGCTGCCCAGGGGTTAAATATGACTTTTAAAGCCGGAAGTGTTACCACCATGCTGTATGTTACCACATCCACACAGAGAATGAAGTGAGCGCTCTTTGAACACAGAACGAGGTTAACTGTAGAGCCATGGTCGGCAAACTGCAGCTGGTGAGCCACATGCGGCTCTTTGGCCCCCGAGTGTGGCTCTTCCACAAAATACCATGGCCTGGGGGAGTCTTTGAAGAAGTGGCATTAGAAGAAGTTTAAGTTTAAAAAATGTGCCTCTCCAAAGAAATTTCAATCGTTTTCCTGTTGATATTTGGCTCTGTGGACTGATGAGTTTGCCAACCACTGTTGTAGAGCATGGCACACAAAGGCACAGTCACTGGGGGGCAGAGGCAGGGGAAGCAGCCACGCTGGACAGGGAACTCCCATGTGGCTTCTGGTAACAACACATGATCTCACAACCTCAGAGCAACTTTCGAGATAAATAACCAGCATTCCCATGTTACAACAAGAAAACCTTGTCTAGAGAGATTGAGGAAATTATTGGAGGTTTTCTGATGGAGCCACGATTTAACACTAGCTTGCTCTGACCTCTGAGCCCCCACTGCATTGGATACAGTGGTTTTCTGGGCTGAAGAACAGTAATCATGTAAACAGCCAGCCTACACAACCAGCAACTGAGATGGTTCAATACCCTTGGGCCCCACTTCGTGGCGAGGCTGTCATAAGGGTCCCAGCCTCCCTCCAACCACCTCACACCCTGGAGACTGTGCCATCTCCTGCCACTCGGGGCTCCCTGGGACCCTGAATGGCTCTTGGTTTTTCAAATCTCGTTTTATTTATTTATTTATAAATAAATTTTATTGATTTTTTAAAAATATATTTTATTGATTTTTTACACAGAGGAAGGGAGAGAGATAGAGAGCTAGAAGCATCGATGAGAGAGAAACATCAACCAGCTGCCTCTTGCACACCCCCTACTGGGGATGTGCCCGAAACCAACGTACATGCCCTTGACCGGAATCGAACCTGGGACCCTTCAGTCCGCAGACCAACGCTCTACTGCTGAGCCAAACAGGTTTCGTCAAATTTTATTGATTTTTTTACAAAGAGAAAGGGAGAGGGATAGCGAGTCAGAAATATCGATGAGAGAAACATAGATCAGCTGCCTCCTGCACACCCCCCATTGGGGACGTGCCTGCAACCAAGGTACATGCCCTTGATTGGAATCGAACCTGGGACCTTTCAGTCTACAGACCAACGCTCAATCCACTGAGCCAAACCGGTTTCGGCTCAAATTTCATTTTAAACAGAACCAAATTTTTTTGGGGGGTGAAGGGGGATGGTAGTGCATAAGTGAGCTTTCCCTCCATGCAAGTGTTACCCTCGGAGCTGACACTCCTGGGACAGGGGAGCCCGGGTGGAGAGGACAAACGAAGTGGGATTTATGTGGGAAAAGGGAGCTCCCTGTAAAGCACAGACATCCAATCTGAGGGGAAATATGTGGATGCTGGGAATTCCGAAGCAGAACCGAGCTCACAGCTATGGCCAGAGGGAGGCCCCTGGGCTGTTGTTAAGAAATGCACGTGAAGTGAAGCACCAGGAGGCATGCACACGTGCGCCCGGCGGGGCGGTAAAACTCGGGGTGCGTTTCACAGGGCGCTCCTGCCACGGACCACTGGGACACACTCCGCCGGCTGGGATAACGGAGCACGCCGGGACCCTGAGCCTCTTTCCCAGCCCTTCTGCAGCTCAAACGAGGAGATAAATGTCAATGTAAGGCCATTAGGACCCAGCCACGATTGTTACCATTGTCAAGGGGACATTAAACAAGTGGGTGAAAGATTTTATGTAAACCTTCACCAGGACCACAAATGTCATCAGTCCTCAGATGTCATCCATTCCCAGCTCCCGGCAATGTGACAGTACAGCGCTTATGCACGTCAGACAGGGGCAGGGGGGCAGCCGGGGGGCAGAGGAGAGACACGGGTGGAGAAGTCAGGGCCTCTCCGAAATGCTGTGCACTGGGCGGTTCGCTGAGTTCTGCTCAGCCCAAATCCTGGGATAGGCACAGCCAGGCGGACACACTGAGGCCAGTCCATCCTGTGCGTGGATCATGGCGAAAGCAGTCTGTCCCTTTCCCTCCATGGAGCTCCACACACCCATCCTGAGGGCCCCTCCCCCTTTCCTGCTTCTCCTGGGTGCCCATCCGCATCCCCTCCCCCCCACACCGCTCTCTGCCACCCTCCTTCTCCTGCATCTCAGTATCCCCTCCTGTCCCAAGCATCCTGTGATTCCATCTCTGCCAGAAACAGGAGCCAGTGCACGAACTCACTCATCCAAGTGGCTCCCAGCACCCTGCTCGGACACTGGGTAGTCATTTCCACCAGGAGGCTTGCGAGCTGATGATGGAAGGGCAGGCCCTGGGGCACTTTTGGGGAGACTATGAGGATCTCTCTTCCCAGTGGCCTTCAATGGGGGGAGGGGGGGAAAAGAAAGATGGTCTACTCTGAGGTCTAGCCAGCAGAAGCCTCTCTCCTTTACCCACTTTCTGCCCCTTCACCAAAAAGGACACGTCTTGCCCAGAGCACTGCTTCCCAGGGGAGAGTCCTGCCAGAGGCATTTCCAGACCCACCACAGAATGAAACCCGAGTACCGTATTTTCCTGCGTATAAGACGACTTTTGAACCGAAAAAAAAGCCTGCTCAGATTGGCCAGAGTCAGAGAGGCGGTCTATTAAAAAAAGAACTGGTGTTGCCTTGGAAGTGGGGGGTAGTCTTATACAGCAAATATAGGCCTAAACCTATGTTTTAACTGTAAAATTAGGGGTCGTCTTATACGCCGGAAAATACGGTAATCCCATTAGCTCTGATGAGGTGCTCAGGGCAGACATGGCTCCTGAGGAGAAACCAGTCACTGCAGCACAGGAAGGAGCTCCAGCCTGGCTCCCCGGGGAGAATCCAATGAACTGAGGGGGGTTTCCTCCTCTGGTCCCTGGGGACCCTGCAGAGGCCCCTGTGTTGTGATGGGATGTGGAGGCCCGGTTTCGGGGAGATGGTGGCAGCCCCCGCTGGAGCACTAGCATTCCTCAGTCACAGGGCAGGAGGTTTCTCCACTTCCAAAGAAACACCGGCGACACACCCCCACATCCCACCGCTCTCCTCCCTGCACAACACGCACACAGACACCCACACACACCCTTGCACCCAACAGCACGGTTACTCCAGCTCAGAATAACTCACAAATGCGTTACCACCTGAAGGACGTGTTGCCTTCTTGGTCATTTTGCCCGATGGCTGCTAGCTGTTTTCTTATGGCATCCATGTTTTTCATGTCAACCTGTGGATCTGTCTAGCAGTCTCAGTGACGTCCTGCACAGTGACTACTCAGCCCACCCTCTGAATGTGGTGACAAGACACCCATCTGCCCAGATGCTTCCGATGAAACTCAAACCTCTAACTCACACCTCCGGGGACACAGGCCTCAGCCGGCCTGGGCCAGGCACAGGGCGCCCTCCCTCCAGGAAGTCAGATGCTGCCTTCGCTGTGACCCCTCGACCCCTGCACCTCTCATCCCCGATGCACTTCCTGTTGCCAAATCTGCCTTGTATTACAAAATGGACTGTGAACCAAGTGGATTTCTTAAAAAGAACAACTCTCCATCTCTCCTGGGTCCTCGTGACCCAGGCTCATTCACTCCACAGCTGGCCTCGCTCAGTAGGACTCAGCAATACACCTGCCCTTCCCTCTCCCTGGAAAGGTCTCTACCCAGTTCCTTCCCTTCTTCCCGCCTCCATCCGTGTCACCTCCTCAGAAAGGTCTTTGTCGTGATCTGTAAATAGTGGGGTGGAAACCAGCCCTGCTGCCTCCCCAGGTCACCTGACTCACAACCTGTGTCCTGCATGGCGCCCGCACACCCTATTATCCCGTGTGTTTTGTTCTTTGTGAATGTGTTTGGTCTTCCTACCCTTTCCCCTCCACGAGGCTCTGTGTTTCAGGAGGGCTCAGAGCAGTATCCTTATTTCCTTGCAAAGACCTGGCACAGAGTAGGCACTTAATACATACTGGCTGTGATCATTAATCCACTGCTTTTGTTTGTTTTTTAGATATATTTTATTAATTTTTTACAGAGAGGAAGGGAAAGAGAAAGAGAGTTAGAAACATCAATGAGAGAGAATCATCGATCAGCTGCCTCCTGCACATGGGGATGTGACCGCAACCAAGGTACACGCCCTTGACCAGAATCAAACCTGGAGCCTTTCAGTCTGCAGGTCGACACTCTATCCACTGAGCCAAACTGGTTTCGGCTCCAGTGGTTTTAAACAAAGAATTGATGAGTAACTTAATGAATAGCAACATCTTGTCTTAGTCACCTATAGCTGTCATAACAAAACACCCAAGACCAGGTGGCTTAAACAATAGGAGTTTGTGTCTCATGGTCTGGAGGCTGAGAAGTACAAGGTCAAGGAGCCAATGGATTTGATTCCAGGAGAGAACTCTCTTCCTGGCTTGCAACCAGTTGCCTTCTCACTGTGTCTTTCTCCTCCTGTAAGGACACTGATCCCTCCCAGGGGGCCCATTCTCATGGCCTCACCTTAACCGAATTACCTCCCACCCACCCACCCCCCCGCTGCCCCCCCCCCCCCCACACACACACACAAACACACACAAACACATCACATCAGTGAGGGCTTCAGCACGTGGATTTGGAGTCCATACCACAGACAGACAAGGACAAGAAAGCTTTACTTCTCAGTGGGTAACCAATGCTCGGCCACTGCAAACTAACTCTTGAAGATGTGCTACAATGCCAAACTGCACATGCAGGAAAGCAAAATGCTGCCATCCATACTTCATCATTTACCTGCACACTGTTTCGCAAACAACCTTTGCATCTTGGCCTCGTATCTATTGGGCATCTATTGTCGTGGGCACTTTCTCCCCGAGTCTTATCATTCGCCCCCCCACTGACACAAACAAATGGTGGAGACAATATCCGCTAAGCTCCCCCGCTTAGAGTCTAGGGTGTCCCTGTCTAAGTGCTGGGTTGCTTTTTTCTTATTACATTGGACATCCTTGGGCCTGGCTGCCAGGCCCGGAGCCAGCCCTCTGCTCGGGAAGCTCCTGCCAGATCTCCACGGGGAGCTGAGGCAGCCCTGTGTGGCCTGGGAAGCTGCCTCCGCACAGCCCAGAGCAGTCAGCTGACCCGCTTGGCAGAGCGGCCTCTTTCCAGGGAATGCGGAACTGTGCCTGCGCCAGCTCGCAGGCTCTGTGGGTGGCTGCAGCCATGGGGAGCCAAGGCTTACTCATGTTTGCTTCCCCACGGAGGCCGTGCTGCAAAAACAAAATGCGGAGACCAGAGGGAGAAGGTCCTCCTGGCTTTTCAGGCTCAGTGTCCAGTCTATTTTGAGCGCCAGCTCTTTCCTGACCCTCGGTGGCTGGCACAAGACATCCCTGTATTATAAAGATCCCCCTCTTCTGCTTACTTTATTTACACTAGCCTCATTGCTAGCTAGTTAATTCATGATAACTAATATGTATGTTCTGAATTCCTGGGAATATGAAAATCTTTCGAATGTTTACATATGCATGTGTGTAAGGACACATACATGCCTGCAGAGGTATAAACACAGAACTATTTCTTTTTTTAAAATATTTTTTATTGATTTTAGAGAGAAAGGCAGAGAGAGAGAAAGATAGAAAGATCAATGATGAAAGAGAATCACTGAGCAGCTGCCTCTGCCCGCCCCCCAACTGAGGATCGAGGCTGCAACCTGGGCATGTGCCCTGTCTGGGAATGGAACCGTGACCTCCTAGTTCATAGGTCGACGCTCAAAGGCTGAGCCACAGCAGCTGGGCTGGAACTATTTTCTTTCTGTGCAAACGCCCACAGAAACTCTGAGGGAGGGAATCGCATGGTCTCTGCAGTAATCTGGCCTAGAACTCACCTGTGTATCTCTGTGACTCAAAGCCAAGCTATCTAAAGAGCTTGCAGAAAACACATTTTCCTAGACAAATGACAAATACTTTTTAAGTGCCAGGGGGGGAAAAACAGTGCCCACCAAGCTGGCCAATCTCTTCAGGTCTCTGACTCAGCATCGGTGCAGTATAAAAGGTAGCACGGAGTAGCTGTTCTAGAAAAATGCTAATTGCTGTGTTGTTGCTATTAAAATATTATTATTTACCTGGTCCTGCCTGACCCAGTGCTCCCAACTGGGCCAGCAAGGTGAGGGCACCCATTGCTGTGACCGGAAATCCATAAAAACATTTTCTGTGAGTGAAAACTGAATACAATTACAGGGTAATTATGAGTTAACAATGACACTTGGCATTCTGTGTTCCAAAAACATTTCAAATAACATTAAATTAATGGCATAAAATGACTGGTTAAAAGTGATTTACATGGTTTTAAATTTAAAAAAAAAAAAAGTAAATTTATATTTATTAAAGAGAAAATATTCAAAGTCACGGTGCCTTTTGAGAACATACGGTAAGAGCTCTTTCATTGTCCTGAAAGAATCCAGGAGGGAGAGTGTCAACAGGCCGTTTGGGGCCACCTTCCAATCTCTGCACTCTCTCTCTCACCATGCCTCACCCCTGCACTGGCTCCCTCCCTTTCACGGACCCAGGACCCAGCATGCGCCCAGTGTTCACTGCCTTCCTGCCCCAGGAAATTCCACCATGAAGCATGACCTCCTCTAGCAGAGGCTGACAGAGGCAACCTGAATAAGAGAAAGAAAAAGGGAAATAGGAAGGTGATTGGACTTCACAACAAAACAAATGGAAACAATGAGGTTCTATCTGGGGCTATAAAAAGGGCAGTTTATTCAGAAAAAAAAAATGTATTGTATAAGACGCAGAGATAGTGAGGATGCAGAAAAAGGACAGGCTCTAAGTTGACTGGTAGAAGGGAACTTGCTTTAAACATTCTAGTGCCCTTTGTTAAAATGGGCAGCATCCTGGACCCCGAATTTCCTATAGCTGTGAGCAGAGAGGCAGAGTGCTGTTCCAAACCATGAAACCACACATGGTCTTACACAGGGAGAAAAGAGCGCCAGCTAATGACCCCACAATGGTGGGTGGTGGCCAGAAATATACATATAGACCCAAGGCCAGGGTTCTTCTAACTTTTCTGAAAGGCCCAAGGAGTTGCTGAGCTAAAGGCTCCTGCAGTAGAGAGCAGGGAATTCCAGTGGGAGGTCTCTTCCCCATTCACCCCAGACTTAACCTGCATTACATTTGAAACACCCACCTAAAATCATCCTATAAAATAAAAGGCTAATATGCAAATCGACCAAATGGCAGAACGACCAGTTACTATGATACACACTGACCATCAAGGGGCAGACGCTCAATGCAGGAGCTGTCCCCCTGGTGGTCACTGCGCTCTCATGGATGGCGAGCACAGTGGCAGTGGCAGGAGTCTCTCCTGCCTCTGCTGCAGTGCTAAGGATATCAGAGCGGGCCTAAACTGTCAGTCAGACATCCCCTGAGAGCTCTCAGACTGTGAGAGGGCTCCGAATGGCTGAGGGACCCCTTCCCTCCACACCCCTGTGTAGGAATCTCGTGCACCGGGCCTCTAGTGTATAATAAAATGAATCCACTGCTTAAGAAACAAACAAAAATGGTAGGTACTAAATACTACTATGAAGCCATTATAACCCATGTACCTTAAAGATGACTGAAAGGGTAGTTAGCTCCCCAAATGCCGAACAGGTTCCCATGAGAGTGGGTCTTTAGTACCTACCACTTTAAAGGCACAGATTTTCCTGACACACACCAGGCTTTCACCCCTAATAAATTCTCAAAGATGGTGTAACCTTCTCTTAATTCTATCTGTTGTAAAAGTGTTTTAACTCAGAGTCTGATACATCACATCCCATAATAGAAGTGCCTTTGATATACATTAGCCTAAAGCCTGGAACAGCCTACAAAAATGTAGCCAGTATTGATCCCTCACAAGCATGGATGTCACTCCTGACACCGGCATCACCTGGGCATACTGGAAGGCATCCATGAAACCAAGACCTTTATAAAGCTAAAAACTGCTTCTCGCCTGAAGGACTCCATCTTGGAAATGTACAGGCTTTCTATTTTGTTTTTTTGTTTTGTTTTGTTTTTTTGTTTATATAGCTAAGGAAGCAAGCTCTTCGTTTCTTAAGCAACTGCACATCCTCACTAGCAAGCCCAGCAGGCTGCCTTTCCCTACCACCTCAGAACTACACCAACACCACCCAGAATGCTATAGACGCCTTTATGGAGAAGCGTAGAGCCGGCCTGTTTTCATGTCTTTGAGAAATGGCCATATTTCAGATTTCATTTCTATAGTAATCTGATTTGATTCTTTTAAAACACAGACATAAAATGGTCCACTTATATAGCCAGTTGCTAAGAGTCTTGGCATTTTAATAGGCAGCTTCTAAAGACATACCTTTTGAAAGAAAATATGAGTGTCTACAGAGAGGCAGAGGATGGATGAAGCCCATAAAAGTTAACTGCATTTTAGTTTTGACTTGGGGAAATCAATCCACAGATCTGCAGATAGACTGCCAAGTCCTACTGGTCCACTGCCCAGCCAGCTGCTGCCATGAGAGCCCTTTGTCTGAGGGGTTCAGGGAGCCAGCACCCAACTGCAAGCGCTGACCTCTGCCCTTCCTCTCGACCTCTCCATCCAACCTCGTGGAAGTCTCACCGGTTCTAAGGACTGGAAAGGAGTTTCTTCCCAATCGGATAAGGCTGGGCCCACTGGTCTGGGAATCAGATGGTCTTACCTAATTCAGGCCACGGCCAATAATGGTTATTGATTCCTCTAAGTATGGAGGGGGTACCAGCCCGGTCATTTCTCAAGAGAGAACAATGCTGAGAGCATTCTAATTCAATCCTGCTCAGCAATCTCACCACATGAACTAAGAAAGCAGAGCGAGCAGCTTGTGGTAGAAACAGCAGGCTCTATAGAAGCCTTCCTGCCCCCAAACATCTCCCCACTCGATAACAGGATGCCCAAAGTCCCACCTGGATTTCCCTCTAGATACCAGAAGGAGATATTTAAACATTTCCTGGCAGAGAGGAAAAATTCATGAACACAAATCATATAGAATGATCTTAGCAAGAATTTTATGATATAAAACTATTATGAACTACATTTTAATATATTTTATTACATACATATTAAAATATATCTTATTCTAAAATAGATTGATAATTATTAAGGGCTTATGTGCCAGGAACTGTCACAACTGTTTTATATGCCTTATGCTAATTAATCTTCACAGGCTCCAACCCAAGTACTACTGTTATCTGCATTTTACACGTGAAGGAAGAAAGGCTCAAAATGGCCCAGGAACTGGCCCACGGTCACTCAGCTCGTGTGGAGCAGACCCAGGGTCACTTGAGGCCCAAGACATTGTATTCTACTGTCTCTCTAAGCAGGTTCTGAAGGAGGTTGGTCAGAAAAAGACAGGTGTGCCAAGTTCAAGGGACACTAATCAGTACATTAAAAAATGAAACATGTTGGCTACAATGGTAGTGCTAAATGTTAGCAGTGACTGGAATCACTCAGGGAATTTTTTTAAACCATTTTTAAATATAATTTATTGATTTTTTACAGAGAGGAAGAGAGAGGAATAAACGATGGTGCCTGAGCCTCATACACCACCCCTCCCCCCCAGCGCCAACACACCATTCTGATTTCCACTGGCCTGAGCACAGGAATTTCTGAACACTCCCCAGCTGATTCCTGTGTGGAGTCCAAGTTAGAAACCACCACCTGGAAGGGTTAGGGGTAGGACTTCAATGTTAACAGAAGCAGCTAAGGGACCAAAGGAGGTTTTGCAAATCTCTGGAGCAGTTCCATCAAAAGCACCTTCTTGAGTGATGGGAATATTCAATCATCTGCACTGTCCAAACTGGTAGTCGTTAACTTCACTGGCTCGTGTGACTGAGGCACTCAATTTCAAATTTTATTAAACTGTCATTAACAAATTTAAATAGCCACATGACCGGAGCGGCTGTTACACTGGCCATCAGTCTGCCTGGGCTTCACTGGTTGGAAATGGGGGAGGAGAGATGCTGACGTAAGCAGAGAAGCAAAGCAGATGGACTCTTACTGTTATTAGTCAACAAAACTGCTTTTCCCAAATGGGCCTTTTTTAACGATACAGATGGTCCTAGTAGCTAATAGGAAAAAAATGATCGATGTCATTGAAAAGATGTCAAATATGTTCAACCAAACATGCTCTGATGGCAGAGCTCTTCAGGATCATTCTTAGTTTGTTCTGTTCAAAGCAAATTATACAGATTTGGTACCAACTGCTGGCATGGCCATCATATATACTGTTTCATAATGGCAATGCAAAGAAATGACGTGAATTTAGGACGTGAGAAATTAGATATGTGCATTCATATCTACTACTCCAATGCTCAATTCAATGGATTAATTCGGTGATTTTCAACTGGTGTCCTGAATTTTTAAAACATGCAATAAGTGACTATTTAGTCAGCAGCACTAACCTCTTTTCCCTTAAATTGTCAAATTAAAAAAAAAAAAAAAAAAAAAAAAAAAAGACAGCAGCCAACACAACAGTAGCCATTAGTTTGAATGATTTGTCTTGAACCATAAATATATAGGTCACATAAGGGCTGCGTCTTACTGGTCACATCACATAATAAGGTTGTGCCTGATGGGTTAATTCTTGGTACCTGCATATACAAGAACTGTACAGACATCTGATTTTTTTTTTAAAGTCACTTTGGAGCAAAACAGGTACGTAATTACTATTATTTTTGTAACTCAATCAAAAGCATACTTATTTTTTGTCAGACTGGCAAAAGATATATTTTTGGTGTGCTACAGAATTTTAGTAATTAGTTTATGTGTGCCATGAGATGAAAAAGGATGAAAATTACTGGATTACTTAATAATAATAGAGCAATTACAAATACATTAATTTATCCAATATCTTGAATACTGTAGCTAATCATATTTGAAGACTATAAAGGATTAGATGTAAGTTACCAATACAGCTCACTTTTACTAAAATAAGGATGTTTCACATTCTCAGGTAAATTACATGCCTATGTGCCAAGCTCTGCCCTTCGTGTGGGCTACAAGACTCCAAGTTAGTGGACTCATTCCAGAGATGTGTATGTCTTCCTGACTTTTGTCATAAGATAATATGCTTTTTCAAAAAGCCTCAGTTTTACATCAGACGTTGACATATTTCACCTCTGAATCTGATTTAGAAATACCTTGCAGGGAATTATATTTATTATAGTTAATTGCACATGGGAAAGCCCCCATAATTAAAATGACTTGTTCTACTCTGAACGGCCCTTTCAAAGAGGAAACATCACCTCTGATCTATTATACATTTACCATTACGGCACAATCACACTAAAACCAGGGCATGGTACCAAGCTAGAAGCCAGCAAGAGCTTCACCTGCTAAATTAAAATATCTGGAGATGAAAGGCAAAAAAGGTATTTATATACTTCTCATTA